AGTGCTTTCAGTTAGGGCTTAACTCATACTTCGACACAGAGTCAAACCTGGGGCAGGAGCGATCCCGCTAATCGCAGCGCCTATTGGCTTCAGATTGACTGTGCGATCGAATTGCGCGTAGTCAGGAGGGCAGTGTCACAAGTCTTGGGCTGCGCCATAACAGCACTGTTAGACTCCCAAGAGTTTTTTTATAAAGGTTATGCATGAACTAATTAAGCCACCCAGCAAGCTAGGAAATGATACAATTGGTTTCAATGTGGGTGCAGTTGACGGTGTAGCACACATCTCCAGAAGACGATAAACAGGCATGCTTGTATGATCATTCATCCTTCTTACAATGGCTACTACGAAAGCACTCTTTCAGGCAAATATCGATCAGTGCTACGTCAAGAAGTTAAAGAAAGCCGATAAAATACCTGTCACAATCAAAAAGAAATTGATCATGGTAGTGAACGCAAAACAAAAACAAGTAACCGCACGCGTTTTCCCGGACAAAATGGAATTGAGATCTCCCGACAAAAAGAAAATTCGTATAAACCTTGTTAACTTCAACTCAATCCAGAAGGTTCACAAGGCCACACAAGAACAGGTACTCATTTTGGAATACAAAAGCAATACAAAAAAGCCAATTTGGTTAGTATTCCTAAGATTTAACACCGACAAGGGATTTGAGGAAGTAATGAAGGTAATAGTGAACAAAAACAAACCAAAGAAAACACAGGAGCAAAACGAGCCTGCAGCATCACAACAGCCACAAGCTCCACAGTCATCATCAGCAATCTCGCAGCAACCTGGTCAACCGCAAACTTCAGGAACTGTCTCCCGTGACACTTCCCGAAGGTCATCCTCAGCTAACATTGAAAAAAGGAGGCCGACTCCAAGGCCTACTGAACGAGGGACTCCGACGACTCGGAGGTCAAGTTCAACAACTAGCTCGACTCGATCTTCGCGACAGCAGGCGTCTCAAGCATCAATACCACTGTCTTCATCGAAACGCCTTTCCTCCAGTTCTTCCTCACCGTCTCCTCCCACCCCTGCCACCCCTCCTGCCCCTACTTCTTCATTCTCATCAGTAAAACGTGCCAGCGAAGGAGTTTCGAGGGAGCCCACAGTACCGGAGGAAAGGGAGACAATGACACAAATCACGTATGTGGAATATCCCGTCCCAGAAAAGCAGGCGTATCCGTCTCATCCACAGTACCTAAACGGATCATCCACCAAACTATCCAGCAGCCGAAACTGCGGAATTACATACTTTACAAATACATCCCACTCTGGTTTCAATGAACAGACGGACAGAAGTCGATCGCACAAACCGTCTAGTAAGCATTCGAACACCTCAGTACGTGTTATCAACTACGTTACATATAAGGGAATTGTAACGTCTGAGCGTGGTAAAATGTTGCTCTACACCTCGAACACAGACTTGGCTGGCCGCGGTAGGAGAAGTAGAAATAGAAGCACTAGTAGCAGCAGCAGCAGCTCGTTCACTGACCCAGTTCTAACACGAAACACGAACCGGATATCTGGACGTGGTGAAAGTGCCGGGCGTTCGCTGTCACCTCGAAGAGGGTACAATGCCAACGAAGTCGGAGGAAAGCCCGGCTCCAATTTCATAGGTTTCCAGCCGAAGAGAAAACAGGATGTGGGCTTTGGCACCGTCTGCAGCTCGAGCAGCAGCACAAGCAGTAGCGATTATATTCTCACCGGATTTGTAGTACGGCAGCAATTGCGGTAGCCGTACATGTGTTCCTGACCATGAGCAGAAATGATGATACCAATCAAACAGCTCAAGAATTGCCTTAACATCTTAAACTGACACACTGAAATACCATTTTGCTATATTATCCAAAGACATATAAAACACGCGACGGGGGTTTCCCCAGAACGCAAACGTTCGCCAAACATGATGGCGTCTTTCTGAAAGCCAGTACAATACATGTCTTTTTGGAATAATTCATGTTTTCGCAAAATGGCTAAATATTGACTTTACATAGCTTCGTTGATGTTATCTAGGAATTTGCAAATGCGTCTTTTGGGACTTTTAGGGACAAAATCCATTGATTATTTACAACTAGTTCTTTTTAATTTTCGCCATCCAAATTTTATATTATTAACCCAAAATCGGTAAACATTATCTGATGACTCATGGCTATAATAAATCTGTGGGATCTAAGAAGGAATTATTAGAACTGAACCTGTTGCATTTGAATTGTTTTCTTGGCTTAGAACGGTAAGTCCCCTAAGTTAAGATACTGCCATAGTGCTGTATTAAATGATGAGACACAATTTATTTTGAAAGCCGTTTTCAACATGGATCTACTGCTAGTGGCGTTTTAAAAAATGCAGTATACCTGAGGAGCTGAAAAGCTACCTGGAAAGTGGTGTTTTTTATTCATAGGTTAGGTTGCTTTAAACAGAACATGGAAATGACCAAAGAAAGTGCGCTCCTAGTTGTGAATAATGAAGGGCTTTTCTCAACAAGTCTTTCAGTGTCTTGAAACATTTGCATAATGAGAGTATAACCTGATTCCGGTTTAATGTTTTGGATCCTCAATTCAAATGGTTAGATTGCAAACTCTTTGATAAGTCATATTTAGTAGAGTGGTGTTAGATAATTGCCACTGCAGCAAGTGAACATTCATACATCTCATCCCGATAGGATATAGAAAAAGACACCGCTCATTACACAGGTGATTTTTCATTCTATTGTGTTTACCTGATGGCTAGAATTAGGTTCGGGAGGGCGTACTGTTTCCTGAACTTAGCGCAATGCCCCGTATCATTAGCGGACGGGCGTTCTTAGTCTTGCAACCTTTTTGATTGAATAGTTAAGGGATCTTGACTAACTGACTTCTTCGTGCACATGTAATTACGTAATTATTGAAATCCTTTGTAATGAATGCTACCTAAATATCGATATGTTTCTATAAGTACAGTTTTAAGGCGAGGAGTAGGTGGGTCAATGCAAAGTTTATATGGAAACAGGGTCTCAGTTATCAGATTGCTTATGGAGAGCATCATTACGTCTAGCAAATATCGTTCATGAAATCGCATTTTAAGATTGTATGTGTCTGAACTAGTCTCTATATACTCGACCTCGGATATTAGACACTGGTAGATTGGAAATGGTCATATTTCTACTGAGTTGCTCTTGATGAATATTTAGGAGTTCATTCCGGGAAATCTAAGTCAAGTTTGACCAGAACTGAAAACAATATAAATTAAAACCATTTCTAACAATAATTGGGTAAAATAATCAAATTTCAGCCCTCAATAAATAGCAGTCTGCGCAGGCATAAACCTTTTACGCAAGCAAGTATTTTGAATATGCTTTTTACGCCTGCCGGAGTAGGACCAGAACTCTCCGACCGGACGTAGAAGAAACGAAATTCTTCCTTATTCGTGTTGAAGTTTGCATCTGTATAACGTTGAAATCGAATAAAAATTAAAAGCTCTATATTTAAAATGGAAGGCAACACGCTCTACGCCATAAGTTACCGAATCCTATCACCTGCTGGCTGATAGAGAGGTTAAGAATGAAGCCGACAGGATGGAATCCATCACTAGTACACATCGATATGCTTCTCACGACTGGTGCTCGTAAATCGATCATAATATGTTAAGGGTCGTGGATTTTGCCAACTTATAGGATAATCGGGCTCCTATAGAACTTTCTAGTAATTGCTTAAGACGGATGACCAGACTATAACAGCTTCGTTTCAGGGTTACCTTTAGGGCGTTGTCACACATGGTAGATTGAAGTGGCCAGGTGTGTGCAGTAAGGACCACTTGGTATATTTTGCACGTATGGACAGACTGTTTGGATTTGCTAGCCACTGTGTCTGCGCAAAAAGCCGGTTTTCTACATACTGCCCGGCTACGGAAACTAGGTAGGCCAGGGAAAAATTTGCGATAGACAGCGCGCATTGCTATCTGTTTGCTAACTAATTCACGCTTAAATTAACCGTTCCTTGCGAAGAAATATGTAAGGCTTCAAATTGAGTGAAACACCGAGTA